TATGCATCTTTCGTGTCTTGTTATTCGTCCAGATTCAATTGTGATTCATTCAGTTTATTTACTATTTCGAACGGCAATTGAACTGGTGATCGTTTTGAGGTTTTTCTCAATGCATAAGAGACTAACGTGAAAATAACTATTGCAGGGTAGAATCGTTAAATCAGCCGCGCTTTCTGGGACATTTTGGGAATTGTGCCGCAACCCTCTTATTTTTAAGGATATATTAAGAAAAAGTGGCGAAATTTTCAAAAACGAGCATATTTGGAGCATAGTTTGGAAAAATAAACGTGCACTGCTTGTTGCATAATATGCTACTTTTACTAGCACCCCATGCATGTGTTGACATGTAACAGTAATTATCGAAAATTTACCTTCTCAGCGTCAAGTTTCGCGTGTAGTTTCACGTGGCTTTCGATGTAAACAAACCCCCCAAAGTTCGGACAAGAAAATATGGATTTATTATGTTTGCTTACTCTGGTTAAATTTTATTATCCTGTGCTTTATCAACGTAACTGGTATTGATTTCTAAACCTAATTTTCAATCATGTTAGTCTTACATGTTGAAACATTTATTTGTTGCTGGAGGGTGGGAAGGGAGGGTGAGAGGGGAGGGGGGGGGGAACTGTGAGAATAATAAGCTGATCTACCTCCTTGCCATTTTTCTCTAAGCCTTTCCTATAGGCATTATGCACAACATGAAGTACACAACTGCCAACAAAACCAGAAAACTGTGGATAATCATCTTTAATCAATTGCTGCAATTCATTCAAAATAGTTTTGCATTTGGGCCATCTTGAGCAAGTGTAATTAGTTTGCCATAGGAATTCCATCATCCTTCATTTGACTGAACATCCTTAGTACCTCTTTGGATAGAATTGGATTGAATAACTTACATTCCTACTTCAACATAGCGGATGCACAAGCATGTAAATGAACCTCTCAGAATTCCTTGTATGCTATCAAAAGCACTGAGACAGTCTGGGCACGAGTTTCAGAAGAAAATCACTCATATAGGCTTCAAACTGATCTTTTTTGACATGAAGTCTCAGTTTTTTTGTAGAATTTATCAATGTTATTGGCAATTTTACTTTAAATATTTCAAAATGTTTCTGTGTACCTTGTAAAACTCAAAAAAACAAATAGGAAAAACTAGGAATTTCATGAAAAAATAGGAGAAAATAGGAGGCAGGCTAAAAAACAGGAAAAAATAGGAACTTAACACCCTGATACAGTCACATGACATACGATGTTGTTATTATGACATACGATTTACCATTTCATGGAATTGGAAACACCACTCTTGAAGATTTCTTCATGAATGAACCAGCTGTCATGGATTATACAGATTAGATTGACTCTCAGGACCGTGATTTTGCAAGTTTTATGGATGTTCGAGTGAAGTGCAGCTCTAATTTCTTGATAGCACATTTGAATATCAACAGCTATCAGAATAAATTTGAAGAGATGAGGGAAATTATACAAAAGCTAAGAATTCAAGTGATGTTCATTGGTGAAACCAAAATTGACTCTTCCTATCCCGATACACAATTTGCTATACCAGGGTACCAGCTTTACCGTAGTGACAGGATGAAAGGAGGAGGTGGTCTCTTGGCTTATGCGTCATCTAACGTGATCTGCAAACGGTTAAAAGTTCCTGGCAGCTACAAAACTATTGAATCATTGGTTTTGGACGTTGAGCTCAAAGGGAGACGTGTAATTGTGGCTGGCTTGTATCGCCCTCCCAAACCTC